CGTTGATAGGGTGGGGGGGAGGGGGAGGGGGCGCCGGCACGATCACCGTGGGGTGGTGCGTGGGAGCCGGAGGGGGCAGGAGCTGCAAGACAGAAACCCCGTTTCCTGCCAAGGGTCCTCCCAGCCCATCGCCCCCCTTTACTCGTGGGGAGCCGGCCAGCTCACAGCCTTTTTACCCCCCTTACGTCGCCATCTCGAGAGGGGCTTCCAACCTCCCAAGATTCCATGGCCCCTTCACTGTCCAGCACCAGGCACACAGGCCCCCGTCTAACAGAGTGGGACCCAATCCTTGCTCCATGTCACTGGGATTTGGGGCATGTTATAACATTTAACCTTTCTGTGCCTCGATTTCCCCAACAGTGAAACTAGAAATAATGCCAGCCTGGGCCTCCAAGGGCTTCCGCAGGATTCCGTGTAATAATGGACACAAGACGCCGGAGCCCGGAAATGCCTGCATTGTGACAGTTTAGGCCCGAGTCTGCCCTGTCCACATCCAGAGGCACCCAAGTGGAGCCGGAGCCCCTGCCCCAGCAGGCACAGCTCCTCCCAGGTGCCCTTCTCACCTGCGTCCGCAGGTGCTGCTGTTCCCGCTCCAGCTTCTCCTGGTGCAGCAGCCGCACCTGTTCCTGCTGCTGCTGCAGCTGCACCTGCTGCGCGATCACCTTGAGCTTTTCCGGGTACATGTGGGCCTCCAGCGACCGCACCTGGGAGGGAGCGGCAGGGCGCTCAGGGCAGGGCGCTCAAGGCAGGGCAGGGCCGACCAGCTCCAGTGGTCCAGGCAGGACATTCGCTCCTGCTGGACTCAGCGTGGACCGCACACCCCTCAGGGTAGAGAGCAAAGTCCTTCACGTGGACTGCCCCATCTCCTGTCAGCACCGCCTGGGCGTCCAGGTGGCCTCCTCGCCAAGCACCAGCTCCCCACTTTGCCTGGTTACCTGAGCCTCGACCTCACGCTTCAGTGGAGAAGCCGTGGGGCCCCTGAGAGCCAGGTCAAATCCTGCTGCCGGCCACCGCTCCCACAACGCCATTCTCTCGGCTGCAGCCTCACGCTGTGAAATCTCTCATCCCTCACCCCACGCAAGTAGCGCACCGAGCCCAGGCCCTGTCTGGCCTGCTCCCACTCCCAGGTCGGAACCAGAGCAAGCCCTCCTGTGAACACCTGCTAAACGGAAGGGGCCGCGGCAGGGGGGACGGCGAACCGGAAGAGGGCCCGGCGCCGCTCACCTGCTCCTCCAGCATCATGCGCACTGAGCGCTCCTTGTCCAACTGCTGCCGCAGCTCGATCATCTCCCGCCGCAGGTCCTCCGCCTTCTCGTCCTCCCAGATGTCTGGCGAGCCGATGCCCTCGTCCTTGTCCTCTGCTCGGCGCCGCTTGGGGGACGAGCCACTCAGCTCCTGGGGAACACAAAGGTCTGCACGTCCTGACAGTCCCCTGCCACCAGTACCACGTAGGCGAGAGGCTCCATCGTCCCCCACCCACGAGCTGTCCCAGGCAGGCGGGCCTATACTAGGAAGCCCCTTCCACAGATGCGACAGACGGCCAAGCGCCAGGAAGGAAAGCAGAAGGCATGTGCTTTCCGGAAGAGTCGCTCTGTTCCTTCTAGAGCCCACTCTACCCCTCTGCACAGGTTGTAAACTGAGGCTTGAGCAAGTGGCTTAAGCCAGGCAGGTCAGTGGGAGCTGCAGCTACATCTGAGCTCCAGGTCAGAGGTTGGGCCCCGGGGCCTGAGCCAAGGACAGGGAGCAGGCAGAGGGCAGGGTGCTGGGCGGGAGCCCCCCCCAGGTACCTGAATGAAGCGTTTGAGCTGTGTGTTCTGCTGCAGGAGCCTGGTCTTCTCCTGCTCCAGGGAGAAGATGTACTCAGCTGTCTGCTGGAGAATGGCTGCCTGGGGGCAAAAGGCAGTGTCAGGCTGGCAGTGTTTACCCAGGCTCATTTCCTTCCCCTCACCAGCCAGCTGCCTCCTCCAGGAAGCCCTCTAGCCGGGCCCACCTTGCTGAGCTTCTCTCCGTCCGTGTGGGGAATAAGGGTCTTGAGGGACTGGAAGCCCGCGTTGATGCTCTGCATGCGCCTGCGCTCGTTGCTGTTGGCAATCTCCCGCCGAATCCGCCGCTCCTGGTCCCGCTGGGTCTCCGGGGTCAGTGGAATGTTGGCAAGGCTGCAGAGGAGGGGGTGCCGTGTTCTAGCTCGGTCCCCCTGTGCCCCTTCCCCAGTGGACCACTGTCCTTATAATCCATCCCCTGAGCACCCTGAGCATAATCTGCATCCCTCCTCGCCCATCAAAGCTGCCTGGCCTGTGTGTCGCCGGCAGATCAGAGGGAGGGTCCTAGAGGGTGCTCGCTGCAACAGCCGGGCTGACCGAATCGTCTCCTGCTCAGAACCCAACCCTCCCCGGCTTCCTCTGTGCAGAGGCCTCTCTCTTCCAGGGCAGAGGCTCCTAGCTGGTCTATCATGCAGACCCTGTGCCGGCCCTGGCGTCTGGCTCGCAGTTGGTAAGGGGGTGAGGTGGGGGGGAACTTGCCTGGATGTGTGATTCTCACCCAGGTGGCCCCAGTCGACAAACGGAGACACCTGCTCCCTACTGTGCTCTGGGCCAGGAAGCTGTCCCTCCTCCCTTCCCATCCTCACGGCCACCGGCCCTTAGCCCCCACACTGGCCTGTCCCCCTGGGCTAAGACTTCACAGAAGACAGGTTTCTACTCCACAAGGCGGTGCTAGGCCCACCCCAGGGGAAGTTATCCCGAGCCCACCACTCTGCGCCAGGGCAGCAAGGCTCCCCACACCCTGCGGGCCGCAGGCCATGTTACTGTACATGCCAGGGGAGCAGGGGTGCTGGCGGGAAGCAGACCACAGGGCACTCGGGCCAGCACCCCTGCTCCCTGGGCAGGCCTGTGTGTGGCCTGGAGGAGGTGTGCCCCCCCTTCCCGCCCACCCCTGCCATGATGGCTTCCAGATGCCGGACTCCCAGCAGAGGCCGCCAGCCCCGCCCAAAGCCACAGCCCCAGCTTCTTCCTGAGGGGCCCTCCCAGGGTGACCTCTTCCTGGCCTGGGCCAAGGGATCACAGGTCTCTGAGTGGGGGAGCTCTGGACAGTTCTTATTCCACTGATGGGGCCTGGGGTCCAGGAGGTGGCTGTCCCCAGGCTGAAAGGAGAGAGCACAGAAATCCGGGAGGGCGCACGTCCGCAGCTGGGAATAGCTCAGCCTCTCCAGGCCCGCCATCGGCCCACCATCGTGCCACAGCTCCCCTGGGGACCCAGCGCACTCCTGCCCCTTCCTGGGCCTCGGCTTTCTCTCCTATCAGGGACGGGGAGTGGGCATGGGCTTATCAGCCGCTGCTGGGTGTCCAGAGGGAAATCAGGACCCAAGGGCCAGGGCCCCCGCCCGCCAGGGCTTCCCTGCTCCTCCTTCAGGGTGCAGGTGCCTCTCAGGGGCCTTGGAATGTCGTCCCGAGAGCAGACCCAGATCCCCACTTCATAGGAGGGACGTGGTTTTAGGGCCAGACAGCTGGGTGTCCAGCTCCCTGACTTTGGGGCCTGGGTACCTCACTCTCCCAGCTCGCTGCCCCTACAGTGGGTGTGCCGTGTGTGGGAGCAGGAGCTGGTGCCCCCACGGGCCTGATGCGCAGGGCGGGTCTGCCCTTGGAAGGAGCCCAGGCCCTCAGGCCGCACCGCAGGCCAAGGGGCAGGAACCGCTCCACAGTGAGTGGATCAAAACCAGGCTCTGGGGACAGGAGATAGAAGAGATGTCCACAAGAAGGCAAGCTGCCAGTCCGGATGTACCCAGCCTCCCAGGAGAGGCTCCCAAGCCCCTGCATCCCTCCCAGCTGTGCCCAAAGGCCAGGACTGCCTGAGGCTGGGGTCACAAAGGGCCCCACCCCAAGAGCCGGCCCACGGGGAGGGCCTAGCTACAGAGCAGTTAAAAAAAAAAAAAAGTCTGGGGGCCAGCAGGTGGAGTAATGGTTACATCACTGGACTCCCACGTAGTTAATGGCAGTTCGAGTTCCAGACCCAGCAGCTTAAAACTCACACTGGGAGTGTGTGCATGTATGCCCAAAATCCTGAGAGGAGAATGGAGAAGGAATTGCAGCACAACCATTCCCCCAGGGGGTAGTTTCTCACTTTCTCTCTGTCTCTTTGTCTCTAGCGAGCACACATGCCCTATAGCAAAAAATCTCTCTTAAACTTTTTTTTTCTCAAACTTTTAAAACAAGTCTAGACTTGGAATGAATGCTGAAGGCTTGCTCTGTGAGACTGTTCTCAGCAAGTGGTCAGTCTTCATGAGCGTCGGATGGCCTGATTATTCCCACTTAAAGGGGAGGACACAGTTCGGGAAGTGACTGACAGTAAGTGGTAGAGCTGGGATTAGAGCTCTGGCCCCAGACCAGGTGCTGGGCCACAGCGCAGGACACTGCCTCCCCCAGAGCCCAACGACCCAACAGATGGACGACAGGTGACCCTTCGAGAAGAAGATTAGGGGGAACCAGCAGTTAGCATAATGGCTATGTCGCTGGACTCCCACGTAGTCGACCGCAGTTTGCGTCCCAGACCCGGTGCGTGCGTTCCCAAGATCCTGAGAGGAGAATGGAGAAGGGATTGCGGCATGATCATCCCCCCTGGGGATTTCTCACTTTCTGTCTCTATGTCTCTCTCTGTCTGTCTGGCGAGCGCACGCACCCTATAGCGAAAAACCTCTCAAAAAAAAAAAAAGATTAGGCACTCCTTTGGGGCTGTCACTATGTTACTCCCCATTATTCACAGACCTCTCCTGTTTTCCCGATTCTTCAGAACCCCAGTGTGTGGCTGGGTCCTAGAAGGCCACATGCCCAGGTCACGCAGCCAGACTGGCAGGCGCTGACCCAGAGCTCCCAGCCCACGCTGACAGCGCCCTCTGCGGGTGCTCACACAGCCTGCAGCTCGAGCGGGCTGTGGCTCCCCTAGCGGCTGCACAGGGGTTTTCAAAGGGCCCTCAAGTGAAGGTCGTCTCACTTACAGACAGGCAGGGCGGCATGTACTGAGTGTCCCGCCTGCATACCCCAGCCCACAGCCCACTTTGCTCGTCTGCCCATGAAACCTTGGCCCTGGGGAGCTGCCCACAACCTCTCCCTTCCCCCAGAATGCCCACGAACGACTCTGAACCTGAAAGCGCCAGCCCTGGAGTTTCCAGAAGGAAGAAGGGCCGGGGCCCAGGCAGGGAGCAGGGGCCATGTTGCTCCTTTGCACTGGGCAACCCTCAGCCCCACTTCTCCTACACTCCATCCTGCCCATTTCCCTCCAAACTCAGGAACCAGCTGCTGGCTAACCTAGGGCTTACCCCAGACTTAAATCCAAGAAAGCAGACATCTCCCAAAAAAACTATCATTCCTCTGGAGCCAGCAGGTGGCATGGTGGTTAAGGACACTGGACTCCCACATGGTCGACTGCAGTTCGAGTCCTGGACCTGGCAGCTTGCTTTCTCACTTTCCCTCTCTCTCACTCTATCCCTCTCTAGTCAAATTAAGAATAAATAAATATGGGACCAGCAGGTGGCGTGGTGGTTAAGGTGCTGGACATTCCCACATGGCTGACCACGGTTCAAGTCCTGGACCTGGTAGCTTGCTTTCTCACTTTCCCTCTCTCTCACTCTATCCCTCTCTAGTCTCTCGGTCTCTCTCTCTCTCCCTCTCTGGTCAAGTTAAAGTAAATGAATGAATAAATAAAATAAAAAATTAAAATAAATAAAGTTAAATAAAATAATTCTAAAAAAAGGATAAATAAATAAATATAAATAGATAGATAAAGTTAAACAAAATAATTCAATGTTGGTTTTTTTTAATTAAAAAAACAGGGGCCAGTAGGCATCATGGTGGTTAAGTTCACTGGATTCCCGCATGGCAGATCACAGTTTGATTCCCCCTCTCTCTCTTTCTCTCTTACTCTCTCATGGTCAAATTAAAATAAGTAAAGCAAGTTAAATAAAATAATTCTTAGGGGAAAAAAAAAAAACAGGGGCCAGAACGCAGCATAGTGGTTAAGGGCACTAGGCTCCCACATGGCCAACCATGGTTCGAGTCCCAGAACTGCCAGCTTGTTTTCTTACTTTCCCTCTCTGTGCGTCTCTCTTTCTCACTCTTGCTCTGTCCCTCTCTGGTGAAAAAGAAAATAAATACAGTTAAATAAAATAATTCTTCTTTAAGTAATTATTTTATTTAACTGTATTTAGTTATTTATTTTTAATTTGACCAGAGTTGAACAGAGAGAGAGAGAGAAAGTGAAAAAGCAAGCCACCAAGTCTGGGACTCGAACTGTGGTCAGTCATGTGGGAGTCCAGTGCCCCCAACCACCACACCATCTGCTAGTCCCAATAAAATAATTCTTAAAACAAATTAAAAAACTATCATTCCTCCTGGGGACTTGGACTTGCCACCAAAACCCTCAATCATAACCCACCTCAGTTTCCCTGGAAGTCCCAGCGGGCAGAATTGGGTAACAGGACTGCATGCTAACCCATGGTTCCAACTGGTGGAGCTAACCAGGACTTAAGTTCTTTAACTTCTTTTATGAGAGTGAGAGACAGATAAGCACCCCCCCAGCAGGGCCTCACCCCCAACAGCCTTCCCAGCCAGCCAGGACCCTGAGTGTGGGAGCTGGCAGTGCACAGGTCACCAGGGGAACCCAGGCTGCCATCTCCCACCTAGATCCAGCCTGGCTTCAGCCACCTCGGCACCCCCTGGGATTCTTAGTGGTGGAATGCCGGCCAGCCAAGGGTTCTGACTGGTGAAATCACAGCTAGCGAAGAGCTCTGACTGCTGGACGGCTGGCCAACCATGGGTTCCCACCAATGAAGGACTTCCCAGGTGCCCCTGTGCTGGATGAAGTGGATTTTCCTGCAAATGCCTGGGTTTCCTGGAGCGCTTGCTGGGTTGTGCAGAAGTCAATTCAGTTTACAGTAAGTAGCCACATGGTCAAAGTCCTGTTACACTCTTGGCCAACACGCTCAGACTCCCCAGGTGAGAAGTGAAAGTGGCCCAAGTCTGTCCTCACTTCCTCCCTCCCCAGCTGCCTGGGGCCGGCCAGGGGATGCCCTGCCTCAGGAATAAAGCGGTGCCCTCGGCAGCCATGGCAAGGAACAAATGTGATCCCCGCTTGGGGTGCCAAGACCAGAGCTGCCACCCCAATGACCACAGTATCCCAGAAATCTCCCGGGAATAATGCTGGTGTCCCAGCCAGAGCTTAGGGGCAGGGACGTTCTTCAAGTCTCGATCTCTGACAAGCGCTAGTCCCTCCTGCCCAGCCCACGGCCAAGTATCCCCACCACCCTAAGCCTTCCTGCGCCGCTCCAGCCTCAAATGGCTGCTGGAAGCCCTCATTTCACACGGCCCTCACGTCACTGAGCATCTACACAGGATTGCTCTCACGCCCATAAGGGAGTGAGGCAGACGACCCCCCATGAGGACCAAGGTGCTCACCCTGCTCTCATCACCAGCTCAGACTGAGGCTCTGGCCTACCGCTGCTGCTTCTACCCCTAACCCCCACGCAACCATGGGCACCTGCTACCTCCTGCCTCAGTCTCTGAACACGCATGTCCAGGCCGTTGGCGTCAGAAACACAGCTCCCACTCCGCCAGTCCCAGCAGAGGGAAGCCTGCACTGGGCTCGTGAACAAGCTCCAGGCTTGCCGGTCACTGCAGGCCAAGTCTAGTCAGTCACAAAATCTCTGCTTCTCCCACCTATAAAATGAGAAAATAGGGGCCAGCAGATAGCGTCGTGGTTCCGTTGCTGGACTCCCACTTAGTCAACCACGATTCAAGTCCCAGACCCAGTGGCTTAAAACTCACACCGGGCGTGTGTGCATGTGTGTCCAGAATCCCAAGAAAAGAACGGAGAAGGGATTGAGGCATGGCCACCCCCCGGGGGGGTGATTTCTTTCTGTCTCTGGGGCAAGCACACACTCCCTAAAGTAAGTCTCTCTCTTCAAAATAAAATAAAAGAAAAGAAAATCATGCCAGGTGCATGTGCATGCATGCCCAAGAACCCAGGAGGGGAGTGGAGGAGAAAGGATTGTGGTATAGCCATCCCTTGGGAGGGTGATTTCTCACTTTCCCTCTAACTGGCTCTGTTTCTCTCTGGTGAGTACATACAACCTAAGGCAAAAACCTCTTAGAAAAAAAAAAAGGGAGAAAATAGCGCCTTTCTTCAAGGTCATGATGAAGACTAAGTCAGTAAGGTGGGGGTGGGGACAAGATGCCCTTCTCCTCCAGGGTTTGCGCTCGGGTATGCCAACAACCCACGTAACTCTTAGGGGGCTGGCATGACCCTAAACCAGTGCCAGAAGTCAGATCTTGTTTGTTGCTATGCATTGCCGCCTCAGTATAAGCTGGTCTTTGTAATTACAGGGTCCAGGGCCCAAGAAGCATGCCAAAGCCCTTCCCTCTTTTTCTTTCTTTTAGGATCTTCATTTATTTATTATCATTTTTTTGCCATAGGGCACGCATTCACCCGTGACAGAGAGAGAGAGGGAAAGTAAGGAAAGATCACCCCAGACCACATGACAATTCCTTCTCCTCCCTTCCCCTTTCAGGATTTTACGCACGCACATAAGGACATACCCAGTGTAATTTTCAGGCTACCTGGATCAGGACTCGGATCTCCCAATCAGTACCTTAACCACCATGCCACCTGCTGGGCCCCTTGGGATCTTTTTAAAAGACATTACAAGATAGAGATCACCATGCACCTGCTTTTAAGAGCCTGAATGTTGAGGGCCAGCAGGTGGCGTAGTGGTTAAGGCACTGGATTCCAACATGCACTGGACTCCCATATGGCCAACTGTGGTTCGAGTCCTGAACTTGGCAGCTTGAAACTCACACTGCTGTGTGTGAGTGCATGCCCAAAATCCTGAGAGGAGAATGGAGAAGGGACTGTGACATGGAGTGATTCCTCGTTTTCTGTCTCTCCAGCAAGTACATATACTCTATGGCAAAAAAAAAAAAAAAAAAAAAAAAAGAGTCTGAATGCCACCTTCCCACATCCACAGCTGATCTTCACCAGTGTTTAGGTTTTATTTACGTCCAAAACCCCGCAGCCTACGCAGGGAGCACCGTGCCCTACAGCGCTCCTGGTAGGCCTGACAGACAGGACAGAGGCAGGGAGAGCCCAGGACACTGAGCAACAGAACAGACTGCCAGAGAAGTGAGTCCATCGGGCCAGAAAGGCCTGCCCAACCCACGTACCAGATCCTGGCCAGGCCTTTCAGCTTACCCTGGCTGAAAATGAACCAACCAGAGGTCCCTACTCTGTGCCCGGTGCCCAGATGACAACTGTCTTGTGGTGGAGCAAGCTGAGGATATCCCTATGCTCAACCCTGGAGGGAGGTCCCGCCAGCTCAAGCACTTGGCCTGCCAAAGCCCTCCCTGGAGAGCTGCCAGAGAGGGGCTTGGGACAGGGACAGGCTGAAGTCAGAGTTCAAGAGGGCCCTGAGGGAACTCAACCAAGGCCCAGGCATGGTGGCCAGAGGACCCCACTGTCCCAAGCGGGCCCAGGGCCAGGGCCCAGCACGTCCTCTCCAGCATGTGGAGCAGCTCAATCCCACCTGGACAGGGTTCAAGTCCCAGATGCAGCACCTGCTGTGGCAGGCCCTTCCCTGCCTGTCCTCATCTTTACACAGGAGACATAAGGCAGCTTGACGACTCATGTCACACTGTCCTGAAGTCACGCAACATCTCCAAAGTCCGCAGGATTTCTGCTATACCCCAAGGGGAGAGAGGAAAAGGACCCTTCCCCCCAGAGGGTCCAAGGTGCTCTTTCTGCCCTCATCCAAGGAAGATTGTAACAAGTCAAGGAGAAATCGCTATAAATTCTAGCAGAGTGAGTCCCCAGGACATACAAACAGCTCAAGAATCTTATTCTGGCTAGGCCCCTCCAGGTGGGCCCTGTGGGAGCTCCAGGTGTGGTCCTACTGGCTGTCAGACTCTTACTGGCCCATCCACCTCTACTTATCCACTGTGAACTTGAGGTAGGTTTAGGTGGGAGCCACAGGGAGGGAAGGGTAACTAACCGTGTGCAGCAGACTCGTGTCCACCAGCCTGGGCCACACCACGCGGGCTCCTCCTCCCTCAACCCCCGCCCTGCTGCCAGCAGAGCACGTGGCCCAAGCCCTAGGGAGCCATTTCGCTCCATTCCGGGAGCTGTGGGGCGGGAAGGCAGCCCAAAGGTCTCAGACACACCGGAGACCGCCCCCAACACACACCCCCGACCGTCGGGTCGTGCACAACACGCAGGTGGCTCAGGTTCAAGCTATCGCAGTGCAAGCATGTGCACTTTACAGTATCCTGAGTGATTTGGCTGTTGTTGGCCCCCGAAACCATCACCCTTTAGTAAAGGGTGGATCTGGGGCAGCCAAGGGCCAGGCTCGCAAAGTGGCTGTGAAGAGCGCTGTGGACCTCAGGCCACCAGGCTGGGAGACCCGACGCTTTCGACTCATGGCTTGGGGGAGGGGCGTGGGATGGCAAAGTTTCTAGGCGACACCCACGTGCGACGGGAAGCGGCCTCTCAAGGCTTAAGGCAGCCTCAGGTGCCCCCTCGCCAGAAAGCCTCCCCACCTGGCGGGCCGTGCCCATCCTGCGGGCAAGGGCAGAGCTTTGTGCAGGAAAAGCGTGGCCCCGGAGCGCCTACAACTCCCACAATGCTGCACCCTCGAGGAGCAGAAGACTACAGCTCCCGCGAGGCGTCGCGCGCAGAGGTCCGCCTACTCCAAGAGGGCTGCAGAGTCACGTCCAGGCCTCGCTAGTAAACAGCGCCCGGGTGCGGGCGGACGAGCTCGCGAGCGAGCAAACCTCAGCCACCACGCCGCGCGCCGAGGCTCCGAAGGGGCCAC